AAATCGTTCTTTGCTCTAGGCTGGGTGGACTGGTGTCCTTTGTAGAGGTTCCTGGGTATTGTGCTTTTTGGCAACTAAACATATCTGTTACTCATGTTCCTTAAAATGAGAGTCACTGTGTTATATTTTTGGAAAATTAGTTGTTTATTTCTCAGTATCAACTCAAGTACAGCATTGTATTAACAGTGAATTATCTGACAGAAATGAGTCTACCAGATAGCCTGGAGCTGAGCTGCAAAAATAAGTGTGAATGTTGGCCTGAAGTTTTAATTTTTTAAAATGAGTAGAACAACTCTTAAAATGTTGCTTTATGTTAAAAACAGGACTGCTATGATGAATTCAGTGACTCTTTTTGATAATTATATAAGTTTCAAATGATAGTTTTGAAAGACGGATACTTTTCAAGCTGTAATTTAAAAAATGTAATTTTGAGTGATTATGTCTTATGAGAAAGTTTAAAAGTTTGAAGTTTGTTTAAAAATAATCCTGACTTTAAACATATAAAAATAACTGTGTTTAAAGAATAATGTCAAATCAGAAAAGTTCTAGAAAATATGATATTCTGAGATAGAGGACTTAATGTACAAGTATCCAGCATTCTCATCATTTTATAAAGTCTTGGGCCAACTAATTTTGATTTATTGTTGCAGAACAGAAAATAAATTTACTGTCTGAGTAAATTTGTAATAGCCCAAACATTCAGACTTTGTACTGGTGTTTTGGAGTAGAATAATTATCACCTTTCTAGAGGTGTTCCTACTGACTTCCTAGAGAACATTCTCAGTAAATGGAGGCTTTATCTCCAGCAATCTCATTTCCCAAAGTCCTAAATCCGAGTTCTTCCCAGTGGCCTGGCATCCTGGGTTCACTTGATTGTTGGGCAGAGACATTTCAAACTCAGGGAACATATGATGGGAATTTAGTTTTATGTGTCCCAAAGATATTTACTTCTCTTTGAAGGTTTTACTTGATAATAGCTATGCCCCAGAAAACCATCTTGTTTAACCAATGTGATAAGTTGACAATGTAGTTTTTCTCTCTGATTATAATGTACTCTGTGTAGTCAATACACTGGTACCATGTGAGTGTAATTTCCTCTTTTATTTTATCTCCAATGCACTGTATTATAAATAAACAGTTAAAAAAAACACCAAACAAATCTGTTGCATCTCCTTTTAAGATTGTACCACTGTAGACACTTGTTCTAGTAAAGTAGAATTGGGCGCATTTGATTGCATTTAAATTTTTCATGCTTCAGCAGTTTGGCTGGGAGCACAGTAAAGAAAAATCCCATGAGCGAGGATAGTTTAGAATAATAGAACTTGATTTTGTGTATTATAGCGGCAACATTTGCGCTGCTTTAGTTAGGGTTGTGTCAGCACTTCCATTATAAACCCCTGTTTTCAGGGGGTATAACTAGGGAGATTTTTTTTTTTAATACAAATTAAAAAAACAATTCATTTGAATGATTTTTAAGTTATAATAGTGCAAAAATAAAACAAAGTATGGTCACATCGAAATTGACCATTCCGCAAGGATTTTGATTTTCTTTTGCTTCTTAGTTCTATAAGGCAGCAGCTAAAGTAAGGTGCTGTTTTAATATGTTGGGGTTGAAAATTTTTGCAATGGAAAATTACTGACTGAGCATTAAAATAAATGTAAGCATTCCACGTGACACTGTAAAACACTGAAACGTGGGTATATTTGATTTATGAGTTTCTAAAGGAGAGTAACTGTGGTACAGTGGTTATAGTAAAGGCATTACCAAAAGTCAAGTGTCGTTGAAGCTTCTAGAATACAGTTTGGTTGGTTGAATAAAATGTTTTACAGGGGAAAGCTAAAGTAAAGAAATGAATGAGATGTCATCAGGATTATTTAATAAAGTAATTATGCAAAAAATCAGTGAATCAGATCTAATAATCAGCAAATTTAAACTTTAATAAACTCTGCATTAAAAACAATTTGTGCACGTTTTATAGCAAAACTCAAAACCGCCACCCAAAACAAAAATCAACAGCAAAACCAAATATAAAAAAAGATGTAAACAAAAAAACCCCAACAATTTTACCAAAAGGAAATGCTCAAGGAAATACCTTGCTAAAAACAAAACCCATCTTTTTCTCCACTAGCAATGCATTTAAGAACTATAATAAAGTAAAAAAAGAAATTATATGATTTGGAAAAGTATTTTTGGAACAAAAAATGTTAATTCCTTTGCTAAGGAAAGGGATTTCAAAATTGAGTGTGTTTTTCTTGATTGTTAACCATTGTTGTCCTACCTCCCCTGTCTCCTTTTCCTCTAATGATAGTGTGAACTGAGGATGAACACTCAGATTTAATATTGCTTTTATTGGCAGCTTATGTTTTATTTGAAACCTTGATACACATATGTATTTGTAGGTGCAAAATAAAAGACAAATTGTGAGATGTTATAAATAGGTAGCATTCCTGAATGGCCACTGGAGGAATCACAAGAAGACTGTTGATGAATAGAGGTGAAGCCTTTCCTCACTAATTGTATTCAGCGTGTAATTTCTAAACTTCCCTCTGAATTTTGATTTTCAATTAACACTCCCCATTTGAAGATAATTTTCTATTTAATGTAATTGCAGGAAATAATTTATTGGCTGATTAAGACTGAGGACCCAGCCTTCCTTAAGAAAACATTCTAACAAACCATCCTTTAAACTCAACTCATAGATTTAGTCTATTTTTACAGCTGCAGAGTTGTATTTAATTAGGATTGTGCACTATTGTTCACTGGTGAAGTTTATAGTTGAAATTATTCTTAAGAGACTGTTTTCATTTTGAGTTTTGTCATGATTAATTTATACTAAAGCAGCAATCATAGACATTACTATTGGAAGGAGCCAATTCACTTTATAATAAGAAGATGTCTGTTGAGGGAACTAAAGTAACTGATTTTTGGATGATGACTTCCAACTGTATTTAACTATTTTAAAAAGCAGAAGTACATTCATTCTTTTGTTTTTAACGTGAATTATTATTGATATTGTCAGTATCTGAAACAGGAAGTAACTCTTGTTTGTGGCAAGCTCTTGATAAACTTGCAGAACAGTTATAATTTGCCTGGTTTTAATAATAGTAGTTATGGGGCCAGTAAAGTAAGCCATATAGTAATTCTAGAAGCATCCATTGGCTACCATTTTTCATAATCATGTATATGTTTGTTCATTTGTTATTATTGGTTTAAATTGGTCAAGAATATATCTGATTTATTGATATAGCACTCTTTAGAACATTTAATTCATTTCTTCTCGAAGAAATTATAGGCATTCTTTTGCATTCCTTTGCCCCCATTTTATTTTCTAGTATCAAATTTAATAGATACATTTTTTGTTATTTGTAGAATGATTATTATAAATTGGTATCAGCATTTTAATATGTTTCAAAGCACTTCAAAAGCCTGTAATACTTTTATTTAGAACTGTGCATAATTAGATTAGCTGATCTTATATTAATTTTTTTCACTGTAGGATACTAAATCTGAGCCCCCTCATTAATTGTGAGAAATTTAGCATTAGCTGTTAAATCCTATGTGAAACATGGGCTGCTACATAAAAACTACTGTTTAAATTGGAATTAACTTAATTATTTTTCTTGCACTTGATATTTCCTTCACTGTAATATTCATGAAAGCATGTGACAGATTTGTAAATTTAACTGTTAATCTCAGATTTCTAGACCTTTTAATCAGTATTTATTTGTCTGCAGAAACAGTACTAGCAAGTTAATGATTTGCTAATTTGAAAAATGCTCATGTGGTTTCCTATGTTAACTGATTTGTGTGTTTTTTTAAAAATGGTATGAAATCAATTAATGTTAAATAGCAATTAAGGTGGAGATTTTATTCCTTTCATTACACAGCAGTTTTAGAGCTAAAGATGTAATAAACTAAAAATGATGTAAAGTTTTAGAAAAAATGCTATATTCCCTCTTCTGTTAAGTTATAAACTTTCAGTGGTTTTATTTTCTAACCATTTTGCCAAGAAATGCATCTTGATAAAATGATATTCTAAACATTTTGAAATTCTACTTAATAATCATGGTTTTCTGATTTTATATGAGAGTACAAAATGGAGACCTTGTCATGTAGAGTGTAGTCGATATTTATTTGTGGGCACATAAATGAATGTTCAGTGTTGTATTTGGAGGTTTTAAATATTATGCACAGTAGGCATTTTACTATTTTCATGGTAAATGCTTTGAATCTTTAAGGTACTTTCTAATACAAAATAGAGGTATAGCTATTTCAGATACTCAATTCAAATGCTACAAAATTGTCCTAAAACTAATCTAACAGTATCAGCCACTCAATCAATATGTCACTTAAAAGTTAAGTTACAACAATTGACTCATTTTAAAGGTCTTTTAACAAGCTTTAGATGGCACTAAGTAGTGTTAGGCCCAGCCCTAATAATACAAAGTATAAACAAAGAAGTCAGGATCAGATTTGTTTAGTACTTTAATTATGAATTATTTACTCTCCTGATTATATTTTCCTACATATACTTCTTTTGCTCCTACATAAACCATAGGAAAAAGTTGGATATTTGTGCTTTCAAATCATCTTGCAAACTGACTCATTTGCCAGTTCATTCATTCATTTTTTTCCATTGCTAACTATCACCCTAAATACTCTCAAGAAGCTTATAATCTAGTTAAGAAAACTAGGAGGGAAAATATACGCATACATACCCTGTCCATTATGAAAACTTACTCTGTAAAAAAATCATTAATGGATTGTAGGAGAGAAAATATGCAGTAGTTACTGGGAAGAGGTTTGCTGAGTTAAAAGCAAAGAGGGAAAGCAGGACACATAAGCCAAGAGTTCTTTTTCAGGGGTTTAGAGTGGATCACAAATATCTCTAAAGTTAAATAATTTTCCTTTTTTCCTGAACTAGCCCAAATGCAAGGGTTGGTTTATGTTTTGTTATTGATAGCCATTTTTAATCCATTCTGTTTTCCTTCTTCTGCAGAAGAATGTCTTCCAAGCAAGCCACCTCTCCATTTGCCTGTGCAGCTGATGGAGAGGATGCGATAACCCAGGATTTAACCTCAAGGGAAAAGGAAGAAGTCAGCGATCAACATGTGGCCTCCCATCTGCCTCTGCACCCCATAATGCACAACAAACCTCACTCTGAGGAGCTACCAACACTTGTCAATACCATTCAACAAGATGCTGACTGGGACAGCGTTCTGTCATCTCAGCAAAGAATGGTGAGCTTTTAAAATCTGACCACTGCCACTAAATGTATTCCTTAGTATGTCCTCATTATAAATAGATATTTTAGGGAAATAGATGACCTTAGAGTTATTTTTGTTTAGATCATGAAACAACTACCAGGTACATATTACTAAGATACTAATAACCCGAAAAACTTGAAAAATGGTTTGTGATTTAGTGTATATACGTTTATTATTAGGTCAGTGTGCCAAGAATGTATTTTATTGATTGATTTTTGTGGGGGGGATTGGTTATCTTATTCTATGAATCCATGAATTTAAGGTGGTTAACTTGGTAATATCACAAAATGGATATGATCAAATAAAGTATGGCTATGTATTAATATTGAAACATTTAAGCAAATACAACTGTGTGAATGATATCATATGTTAAATATACCTTCAATGAGAAAATGCAGGTATTTATCATTTTTAATGGTCATTCTTGATTTATAATAAAGCTTTTCTCACTTATGTGCCTATATATTAATTTCAAAAGGGCATGCAAACCTCCTGAGAATCATTCAATCAGACTACAGGAGTTTTCTCAAAAAGTAGAAACAACAACAAATACATGCAGTATATTTAGCCAGCTTTCCTATATTAAATTCCATCTCTAATCATCAAAACAGAAACCATAGCCAGTGACATTAATTATCTAGTTCAAAACAAAAATATTCAATTTTTTTAGCATCTAGAAGAGATTAAAATCTTAATATATTTTATTAGATGAGAAGTTTTAAACCCCATTTTGAATTTCTTAATTTTTGGCTAACTAAAATTAAGTTAATGAAAATTATTTTAAGTGGGCACTAAGAAAATTTTTATTTCTTAACAAAAATAAGGTAATATTTCCAATACATTTACTACTAATAACACATATTTAGATTCTTATTCAATGCTTAATGTCTCAGAGACTTAATTCAATAATTTATGAAGGCAGACATTTTTCTTTTTCAGATGATTTTGCAGACACAGCCAGTGCTCTGGAGCAGTAGGTAAGAAGCAGAGGATTGAAAGATAGTTTCTAGACTAATTTTAGTTTTGAAAGGGATCAAAATTGTACAATTAGATCCACTGGAAGATTAGTTTTCTTGAGTAGGAAGAAGGTAATAAAGCAAGTCTATTTTTATGATTGAACTTAAGTTGTTCATTTTAACACCTCCAAGGTGAAATAGATATCCAGTCACTGCCACTTGCTTATTGTCAAGATATGGAGCGATGTTTCATTTTTATTTCAACAAATATTTATTGAGTACCATCTATGTGCCAAGCATTCTTATTAGGTGCTGACTATATAGTGGTGAACAAAGCAGACATGATTCATTCCTTCATGGAGTTTATAGTCTAGGAGAGGGAATAGAAATTAGATAAATATATACACAAATATATAATTAAAATATGATGTTTGCTATGTATGAGGAGAAAGAACAGAATGCTATGTGCGAACATAATGAGGCAAACCTAATTTAGAATAGATGGTTAGGAATGCCCTCACTGAGCCAAGGATGGTAAGAACTAATCAGTTAGAGTGGAACAAAGAGTAAAACTGCAGAGGGAATAGTATGTATGAAGTATTTGAAGTGAGAAAGTTACTGCTTAATGTCAGAAAGTAAAAGATGGCCTTCATCGCTGGAGAGTTATGATGAAGGATGCAATATAACGTAAGATATAGTTGGGGAGATTGGTAGGGGCTATATCAAACAGGACCTTGGAGATAACACTATGGATGTGAGATTTGATCTAAGTTCAATGGAAAACGTTTGAAGCATTCAAAAACATTTCAAACAGATAAATTCTGGCTGTGATATAATGAATGGATGGGAGAGAGACAAGAGTGAAAGAAGGAGGACCCACTGGGAGTCTATTTCAGAAGTCTAGGTGAGAGATGAATGACTTGAATTAGTGTAAAGGAAGAGTGGCTAGAGAGAAAGGATGGGTTTAAGATATATTTTGGCTTTTATGCCAAATCTAGTCATAGACAAATAAAAATAACTGCACTGGAAAATATGGGGAGAATAGGAAATAAAACAGTTCAAATTTTATTTCTTTGAGAACACTATACTTATTTTTCCTAGAAAAATTGTGTTTGTATCTTGATAAGTCCCAAGTTACTTTGGTGGGTTATTCTCAAACTTTTATCATCTAAAATTTTGTCTTAAATATATATTAATAATTTTCTTACCAAATTTATATTAAATGTGGTTTATGTTAGTATAAAACAGTTTAATGGTACAAATAAGTTAACTATTAATGTAAAAGAAATCATACTTGCTAGACATGTTTTCAAACTTTCACTTTCTTTTGCTGTCAAACATTGCTTTCCACTGGAGCCTTTGTGTATTCCAAATGACTAGAAGCCAAAATATTTTGTTTAAACTCCCACTCTATAGTATTTCCCAGCTGTGTACTTATATGGTGTAATAAAAGGATTTAACAAATGGGAAATAGCAGCTGCATTTGGAAATTCCCTTTGTGTTTCTTTTTCACTGGATAGATTCAATATTGTGTAACAACTGTAATATCAGACCTGTAATGACTTATACTGTAAGTACCATATCACTAACCAATTTTTCTTTGCAGGAAAAAAACAATAGAAGGATTTTAAGTTTCTGGGCAGACCTGCAAACCTACATATATTGTGTGTGTGTATGTGTGAGTGTGTGTTCGAGTGGGAGAACTGTGCTAATGTAAAATTTAATAAACATTTTATCTCATTCTACTTTAAAATAAATATGAAGTCAAAAAAGATGTTTATGAAATTAAGTAAAACTTGTAGTTTTCTTTAATGGATCATATTCTGTACTTGTAATTGAGTCCCAAAAAATAGTTGTGAAGAAATAAAATTTAAAAGAAAATCTAAAAAATAACATTTTTTTCCAGCACTTGTACAGTTTCCATTGTTATTTACTTTCTGTAATGGCCCTCATGGCCCTCATTCATGAACTGTTAGAAACAAGCCCTAAAAGTTTCTTATCTCCTGGATTCAGGAAGGGTTTTACTTTGAAATGTCATGACCACAGAGGAAGTTTTCTGTCAGAGAAGGTGAAGACAAAGCAAAGAAGTCCTGCTAATTCCCACTTCCTGATTAGAAAAAAAAATCTTTAAATGTAAAAATTCTGATTATTTTGAGGTGACACTGCAACAAAATATGAGACCACATAGGTTCAAACAAGAAAAATAATTTGTAATGGCATAAGCAAAGAAGGAGAATAGAAATTTTAGAAATAGGATTTCAAGGACCAGTTTGAGATAAAAAGTTTTAGATTCTGATTTTAATCATAATTACCTATTTAATAGACACCAAATTGTTGAATTATAAATTTAATGTGCTATGTTAATTAGTGAGAGCCATTTGAAGGTTGGAAAGTTAGTGTAAATAAGAGTCACTATCCTTCTCTTTCCACAACCACTACCACTTTCATCATGGCACCCGGTGTGCCAATACCTTTTTTGCAGAGGAATATTGACACTGTCCACTAAAACATGCTTTTGTTCTCATTAGGACTGACTCATTAGGCTGGAATACATTTGCATAATTTTTTTTCATGGAAAAATGTACAGCATATTATTCTTTTTGATGATAATAAGCATGGAGAAGAATATTTTTGTGATAATGTTTCATGACCTGTATATGATATTGTGTGTAATGAGTATCTGCTAGATTGCAACTGTAGAAAGGACAGATAAACTTATATAATGTTGGTGATCTTTTCTGCAGATTATATACAATTTTTTGGTGCAAATTATGTATAGCTACTTATATCAAACAGATAAATTACAATGTACATGTTATTTTGAGCCTTCCCTTCCTTACTTTTTTTTTTCTTTTGCTTTAGAGTATAATTTAGAAAGGAGTTATCATCACTGGATACCTGAGTATATAGTACCTGCTAAAGTTCCAGGCACAAGGACTAACTTGTGAATAATATAGATAAGATCCCTGTTATCATAGAACTTACAGTATAGTAGTATGGCAGATAATAAAGAAATCTTATAGAGTGAGACAATTTCAGACAATAATAAGTACTATGAAGAAAATTAAGTAAGAAAATGTGATAGAGAATTACTCCTTTAAAAAGACTGGAGAAGGTCTTTTTGAGGAGGTGACATTTGAGCTGAAATTTGAATAAAAAGAGAATTACTGTGCAAAGATTTGGAGAAGACACCCAGTCAGAGTGTATAATAAGTACAAAAGTCTTTTAGTTTGTGTGTTTGAGAAACAGAGAACAACAGGGTGGCTGGTGAGGGAGAGAATGGTATGAAATGAAATCAGGGAGGCTAGCAGATTACAGATATTATGGAGTCTCATAGGCTACAGGGAGGTGTTTAAACTTTCTTTCAAGTGTAAGTAGAAGCCATTGGAAAATTTTAAGCAAGGGAGTAACATGATTTGATTTATGTTTTTAAAAGATCACATTGCCTGCTTTGTAGAGAGTGGACTGAGAGAGAGAACATCAGAAACAGGAACATGGATTAGGAAACCATTGCCGTAGTGCAGGTGAGAGTTGGATGATAAGCGGAAGAGTGAATAGTTTAGGGAGATTCTTCATTGAAGAGTTCTCAGAGTTTCTGAAGAAGACAAAATTTACACAAAGGGTGGAGAGACTGTTTTAAGTAATGTACATGTGGGCAGAAACATAGTCAAGAATGACAAGAAATGAGGTTGGTGAGACCAAGGAGACGAGGGAAGAGAGTAGAAATGCTCTTGGCCAGAGAATGGGCCTCGGTGAGAGACAAGCTTTTTGCCTAAGAAGCAACTGTTAGTAGGTGGCTTCTGTGGTAGGCCATGGGGATGTGGGTAAGGCACCAACACTCTCATGAGATATAAAATGTGATGACTGTAAGTAGGAACTTATGCACATGTGTACACTTACATTCTTATATTGATATATATTTTGGCAAAAATATACATCTGGCTTTTAACTACTAGTCTAAGTAGGTAGAAATAACCAAAGTGGACTCTCAGCCCCAGAATATCTGAACTCCTTATT